CACCAGCCCCTGCCAGGATTTACTGCTTGGGCTGAGGGCTGGTTTGTGTCAGAGGGCGCCTTGGCAGTCTGCGTTGTGGGCACTTGGACGGGGCTGCCAGGGATCCTGTGCCGATGGTCACTCGCGTGCTCTGGGGACACCGGGCTGCCTGCTTGTGCAAAAAGAGGACAGTTCTCTCTCTGCCTTGCTGCTCAAGGGCTTCCTGAGCCCCAGGCGTGCCACGGCAGCATGTGTAAAACCCTTTTAGATTTTGACTCCACAGGCTGGTTGGATTTCCATCACAAGGGTGCACTCAGGCTCTGTGGATGGGACAGCCTGGTCTGAGAGGGAGAAAACGAGATAAGTTTTACCAGAATCAGTCTGAGAGACTTTTAGAGAGCTGAAGATAAATAATGATAGCTTATTATCGTAAATAATCTGCAGGTGGTGTTTTCCTACTCTCTGTTTTATTGTTTTTCTCAAAGATTGTTAATGAGGAAGGTGTCTTGTTAATTAGCCAGTCAGGTGAAATGTATTGATTAATTGACCGACCAGGTCTGTCTGTATTGGAACAAAGTATAACAGAGGATGCAGAGTAAAGACCAGGCTTTATGCCAGCCAGCCTTCTGGGGAGTCTGTGCATTTCTTACTCAGCAGTGACAGTCACAAATCCGTGGTGGGTGCTGCGCGCTGTGTGTGCTGTGTGCTGCCCCGGTGTGTTCCTCAGCCTTCCCCAGCCCCCTGCACCTGCAGCACCCTGCGTGCGTCTGTCCCAGCGCTGCTTCCCGCTCTCCTTCACACCTTTACAGAGGGCCACTGCAGCCTGGACGCCTGCAGGAGCTGTTTTTCCAGTTGTGCTATTTATTTTGTGTTATTTTTTTCTTAAGCACAGCATTCAGCAGCTTGGCTGTGACAAACAAAGTGTTAGGTGGTCCCTCCAGGTCACAGGACTTCTCACGTAATTCTCCCTCTGAGCAGTGAAGGCTCCCAAGCGTTCTCACGATTGGGAAATCCCTGCTTTGCTGTAGGAAGTGGAGGAATGAGGCTCGTGTGCTGGGGTGGAGGGGCCGTAGGCCTCCTGCCCGTCCCCGAAGGCAATACCCATCGGGTTTGTGCTGCTGCATTTTTAGGCTGAGCTTCTTGGTGAACCCGATCCCCGCGCAGCTGCCGCTGGCCTGGCCCCGCTGTGCGAGCGCGGGGCTCTGGGGCTGCGCACTGCCGGCGTGGGGTTCCTCTGCGCTGTGCCTGCCTCCAGCTCCATCCCCGCCGCCCGCTGCGGCTGCTGCTTGCTGCCTTGGGCTCGGTGGTTCGCCCCAAATTGCCAAGTGTGGCTTCCATGGGGGGCGAGGGGGAAGAGAAACTGCTTCTCAGTGGTGAAAGTATTACTTTAAGGTTGCTTTTAACATGTCGGAAAGGATGTGAGTGTTTCTTAAGGGTGTGGGTTTGTAGCTCCAGGGCAGATCTCAGCTGGATCACAGTGTTGAAAATGGGAATTGTTTGGATGAAGGGGTTTTTCAGCCGAGTTTAAAAATTTGCATGGCTGAATGACTAGAGCACTTTGACTGGGGTTTAGTAAGGTTTTGGAGACTTTTAGCAGCCCCTGCCCTTTATGCCTCAGAGGAGCTTCTGCACAGCTGTAGTAACACCTCCATAAAGGCAAGGAAGTGAAATCCACATGAGTTTTTTTTCCTAACCATGAAAATCAGAAAGACTTTTTTCTGTTTCTAAACCCCCTTCTTCAGGCTCTGTGTGTGTGTGTCTGCCTGTTGTTCTGTAGAACGTCGAACTGAAACATACCTCAGCGACCCATGGGCCTCAAGCGAGGCTGTCCAAGTGATCCTATCTCTTAATACTTAATTTGCTGCCTGAAGAGTTGCTGGGAGTGTTTGGAAGCCGTGTTTTTCCTGCCCGTGTTTTTTTGGCACTTTGTTCTGGGCTGTGCTAGTCTGTAGCGCTGTCTTGCTGGTGCGGCTGAGGAGGTGCTGGCACACGAGGTGGAATGTTGGGTTTCTGTTCCATAAATGCACTGTTTATCCCTTCATCTGCTTTTTGTGCGTCGCCTGGTGTTCTCTGGCTGATCAGGAGCCCCTGGCTTCCGCAGGAGGGAATGCCCTCCCGCGGCTTGTGCAGAGGATGCTGAGTGCGAAGCCTTGTCTCCGTTATCTGGGCACAGCAGTAAGATAATCGCTGTTTGGAGAGAGCGTGTCCCAGCTGATCCAAAAACAGTGGCACGGTCTGGGTCGGCGCGGGGCCTGTTTTGCATTCCTGCCCCTAAGACAAGTATAAGTAGGGCGAGGGCAGTCTCCTGGCAGCTCGGGGGGCTCCTTCTCCCCCGTGGGTAAGTCAGCCGTGTGCGATTCCAGTTCTGCAAGGCGGCGTGCGGGGAGAGCGGCTCGCCCTTTTGGGATCCCTCTGTGTTGTTCAGGTAACTGCTTCTGGCAGAGTTAGCCACAGGCCTTGCAGTGAGGCGTGGGCCACCACTGCTGCATTTCCAGAGTTAGACAGCTGCTTCGTGTCTTGCGTTTTATTGCACGGGCTGCATTTCTGTGCTGCCGTGGGGAGGCAGCGTGTGCAGTGATGGAGTTTGTTCAGGTCTGCGTCTGCCTGCAGGCAGGGAGCAGTTCCAGTCAGCAGCTGGTTATCCTTCTCAGAGAGACAAGTTTGAAAGGCGATTGTAATTACCTGTCGATCTAAACTTCTTTTGTCTTTTGGATTTGCCTCCCTTCCGAGGTTCTTGTTCTGGTGCTTAGCTTACCTGGAACTCTAGTTGTTGTTTGCTTGTTTTGTAATTTACTCGTTTCTTCTTAGATAATGAAACAAACTATTTTATGTAGCGCAGAATCATGGACTTGTTAAGGCTGGAAAAGACCTTTAAAACCCTTGACCCTGGGTGTTGCCAGGTCTGTAACTCTGTGAAACACTTGTTAGTGCTTTACCTTAGCTCTGCCTTTTTTGTGTGCTGGTTCCTCTCTCTGTGCCCAGCGTAGTGAGGAGGTGCCGAGACGCCTCTCCAACGTGTGACTGAGCTAAAGATGGGCTCCTCGAGCTGTTTGTGAGAAACTACGTTTGTGGAGCGTGGAAACTCGGCCTGCCCTCGAAACACAGCGGTGCTTCTGGAGAAATGTGTGGCGGCGCTGGTGCGCGCTGCCCTCCGCCCTCGGCTCTGGCACGGACACAGCAGCAGCAGCAGCGCCCACAGTCCTGAGCCAGAGACCCGCCTTTCAGAAGTGCTGAGCAGTCAGAAGTTCCCCTTGAGCACAGGGGCAGCTGAGGGGTGACTCAACATTTCTGGAGATCGTTCTGATTAAATAAGGTCTTATTTGCTTGATCTGAACCTTCTGAAAGCCGGCGAGCAGAATTCTCATTCATGGTTTTGGGGCTGTAGGAGATAAAGCTGCGTGTCTAATTTTAATCGTCTCTTTATTTAAAGCTCCTTTAGCTAATAGCTTTATCAGGGTTTATTTGTGATTACTTATGCATATCTAGCTGGGGTGGTGTTCTGTATTTAAGGAAAAAGATGTTCTATTCTGTTTTAGCTGACAGGCTTTTACAGATTAGTGTGAGTTGCCATAGAGAATGACTGGCAGTTTAAGCTTGATTTTTGAAAGGAGCTTATTGAATTGAAGCACAAAAAAAGCTCAGCACAGAGGGAGAAATTTTAATAGCTAGGTAAAACCCATGATCCTACTCAAATTTAGAGATAATTGTTTTCCTTTGGGAAAAAATTATGTGCAGAAGCATCCTTACAAAAGAAGAAAAGGCTGGAATATGGGAGGGAGGGGGAAGGATTTTCACCGTGTATTTTTTCAAGTATACCAAAGCGTGATGTATTCCATTTAAAACTGTAGAAAATATCAAATAAGGAAGAGTCTGTTTCCTTTTAAAATTGTGCTGGATTTGTCTAACAGCATTCGTTTTACAAGGGGGGAAGCCATGTGTTCACACTGTGTGATGCCATAACTTTCTAAATTAACATCACACTCTTATTTTTGTGCAACGCATTTGTTTCCAATAAATAGCTGCTACTTCGGTGCCTCTAATAACATGGAAAATTCCAGTGCAGTAACAGGTCTCTGACTGGACGTGTTCCTCCTCAGATAAAGTGACAGGCTTGTTTTTCCCTGAACTTCTGAAATCAGATATATTTTATTTACACGGTCGGGAATGACGCGGTAGTTTTCAGAAAGGCTGCTGTTTTGAGCTTACCCAGAAAACGTGGTAAAATCACTTCTGTGTGTTTGTTGCCAGTGTTTTAGGGAAGCCAGAGCCTGTGGAAATGTCTTGGCTGGTGATTAGGTGGAGCCAGAGTTGCCTGAAGAGCCAGAGCAGCTCTTTGGGAGCCCTGGGCTCCTCCTCTGAGGAAGACAAGTGGGAAGGGGATTTTCTGAGTGGCTCTGGGTGGTCTGTCTTGATCCAGAAAAGACAAATGCTGGGGTTTTCATATCCAAAGACACACGTGATCCTGAGCCACCTAGATGTGTATTAAGGGAATGGCCAGGTACGGTTTTTGCCTTTCTGGTTAGCGAGGAGAAGCAGAGCTGGCGTGAGGAGAGAGGCAGCTGGGCTGTGGGCAGGGCTGGCTGAAGGTGAGGGGTGATCCTGGTGTGCCTCGGTGCTTCCTCACGGCTCGGGCCTTGTGCACATCAGCACCCTGGGCTCCCACCCCGTGTTCTCACTGGCTTTCATCCTGCCGGGGTGAAACCCGGGAGATCAGTGCTCTCCTTCTCCTGATTCACCTAAGGATCCCTGCCTTTCTATATGCACGTACTGCGCATATAAACAGTAACCTTTATTTAAATATTGTTACTAGGGGAAGAATAAATCTTACATCTAAAACTGTGCAGGCCGCCCCTTAGGCATGTTTTAGCTGTCATGGGACAAGCAATGCAGTTTTTTCATGTGCTTTTAATATCCTGCACTTAGCTTGAAAATAAAAGAAGAAAAAAAGCCACAGACTTCCTTAGAAACATGATCTGCGATTTGTTAAAAACGATTCTAATGTAGATATTTTTTCCTCCTAGGTTTTACCAAGAGACAGTACATCTAACACTTAACTTGGATCATCTCTTGTTCATCAGCTTGAAAATCATAACAGCCCCCAAAACTGACATTTGATCTGAAAGAAAAAGCTGTGACAAATGGACAATATGTCTATTACTAACACACCAACAAGTAATGATGCTTGTCTGAGCATTGTTCACAGCTTGATGTGCCATCGACAAGGTGGAGAGAGCGAAACTTTCGCAAAGCGCGCAATTGAAAGTTTAGTTAAAAAGCTAAAGGAGAAAAAAGATGAATTGGATTCTTTGATTACAGCTATAACCACAAACGGAGCTCACCCTAGCAAGTGTGTTACGATACAGAGAACGCTGGACGGGAGGCTGCAGGTCAGTACCAGTGCAAGCCAGACGAGTTCCTCCTGGAGAGCTGCCCGACAGGGAGCAGAGCACTGCTGAGGGGCTCTGTCCCTGCTCTGTCCCTGCTCTGTCCCTGCTCTGTCCCTGCTCTGCCCCTGCTCTGTCCCTGCATCCCCTGTGTGTGCTGATCCCCTGGGTGTGTGTTTGCTGATCCCCTGTGTGTGCTGATCCCCTGGGTGTGTGTTTGCTGATCCCCTGTGTGTGCTGATCCCCTGGGTGTGTGTTTGCTGATCCCCTGTGTGTGCTGATCCCCTGGGTGTGTGTTTGCTGATCCCCTGTGTGTGCTGATCCCCTGGGTGTGTGTTTGCTGATCCCCTGTGTGTGCTGATCCCCTGGGTGTGTGCTCAGCCCCGGGGTGTGTGCTCAGCCCCTGGGTGTGTGCTCAGCCCCGGGGTGTGTGCTCAGCCCCGGGTGCTGGCAGTGTGCGGCGGGGCGCAGCAGGGCCCGTCGCATGCCCGGCTCTGGTGCTGTGTGTGCCTGGTCCCTGCTCAGCTCCGCGCTGCCCTGCAGTGACCGCAGCGTGCTCCCTGCCTGGGCCCTCGCTGGGGGCTGAGCTGAGCACCTGCATTGGCCGGGGCTGGACAGGACTCCCTCCCTGTCCACCTGGGGCTGTCATCTCCTGGCCCCGGGGCAGATGGCGTGGTGGCTGGATAGCTCTCTGTCTACCCTAGAGGCATTTAAAAAATTCATTTATCTATTTATTTGTATTTATGGATTGGCATCCTTCTGCTTGCAAATTCCTGATGGTAAATTCCTAGCTTCGCACCTTGTTCCTCTTCTGGGGCAAAGCCCCTTCACATCCACAGTGGGGAGGGTGACCGTACCTAGTGCCTGGAGCACAAGTTCTGCTTCTGCCATTCTGTATCCAGTATTTCTTACTTAAGAATCACAGTGTTGACTAAACTGTGGCAAAACCCTAATAGAAACTTGTTTCTGTTGGGCACAGAAGCCGTGCAGGAACTGAACACCACCTTTTTTTACAATAAATTTTGGTGATGGAGGGAGGGCGTAGTGCTGTTTGTCCCCTTCCCTTTGTGCTCCTCGCTGTGCGGAGTGCAGCTCCCTGCTGCTTTCCCCATCAGCTTTTGTCTGACATTCCAGGTGGCTGGCCGCAAGGGATTCCCTCATGTGATTTACGCCCGGCTCTGGAGGTGGCCTGATCTTCATAAAAATGAACTCAAGCATGTTAAATATTGTCAGTATGCTTTTGACTTAAAATGTGACAGTGTCTGTGTAAACCCTTACCATTATGAGCGCGTCGTGTCGCCTGGCATTGGTGAGTACTCCCTTGGGTTACAGCGCAGCACTGGGGGCGAAATGTGAAACATTTCTGGCTGTAGAAAACGCAGGCCCGAGTTAGAAACATTAACTTTTAATGATCTGATTATAGATTGCCCTCGTATGCTCTTGCCTTTCTCGGTGCAGTTACTGTTTTGCCGTTGTTCCAGATGTGAAGGGCGAGTTTGTGGCTTTTGTTTGAGCCTTTGTGTCGGGTTAGCACGCGGCTCTTGCAGTTGCTGTGCGTCCTGGGAGTAGCTGAGCAGACAGGCTGGTCTCCTGGTGGAAGGGGTCTGACCAGTAGAGTCTGCAGTGCTGGTTTTCAAGGGCTGATAAATGTTTGAAGGTGTCGTGAGATCTCTGAATCCATTCCTGTGCCCCCTTTTCTCTCTTCTCTTTAAAGATCTCTCGGGACTGACGCTGCAGAGCTCAGGTGAGTGGCTGTGTTTGTGTTGCGTTCCTGTGGGCACGGGCTGTGCCAGGGCCTGCAGAGCTGCTTTTGTCCCTCTGCCTCCCAAAAACCTCCTCAGAACCCTGTCTGGGGCAAGGATCCGTAAATCCCTTGGGCACGGGCTCCGGCCAGGCCCCAGCTACGTCCTGCATTCATCACTTCCCACCTGTGAAACCCAACAGAAAACCAAAAATCCCACTCTGAATGCTGCTGCTTAGTGAAAAAAGACACCCAAAACTGTGTGCACCTGTATGATATGCTAATTAATTGGATTGGGCATGCTAAATGTGATTTAGTAAGAAGGAAAGAATGGCAATTCTGTAATTAATTCTGCAGTTGGATGAAGGAGTCTGATATCCTTGCTTTCCCTGAAGCTTGAGAGAAATTGGACATGAAATCTCACATGAGCATTAATCAGAAATCTGAGATTCACTGCTGGTAACTGCTTTATTTCAAGCTTGTTTTATTCTCCTCCCAGAGGAAATTCATGGAGGAAGAAATCTGTGTGATCCAGTGATTTTAGCACATTATTAAAAGTATCCAAGCAAAAATGAACTGGAAAAATCCCCACCAAACATCCCAGCAAACTTAACTTGACAAGCTGTAATGCATGTGCTCATCTCTGCTGATTTGCATTGTTACCTGTGTCTTCTGGAAAATTGTCCTTCTGTAGAGAATCAGAGCTGAATTTTCCACTATTAAATTATTTCATCATTTAACACCAGCAGCTAAATACATCATAAGCATTCCCTTGTCCTGCTCCTGGTCTTGCAGCAGGAAACAGGTTTTGACACATTTAGTCTGCTTTAAAAAGGAGCATGGGAGGTGATGTATGTAGGAGTCAGTGGCATACATAGAAATAAGTTATTGAAGTGGCAGTGGCAATTCCCTGGTGCTGTGTGTGGAATAGTTTGAATTACTGGCTACACTGCTGAATGTAGAATTGTTTCCTGTGGTGTTTGAATGTTGATTTGATTTCCTAGTCAGTTTGAATGGGAGTTGCTTAAGGTTACCCCAGGGATGCATGAAGTTTATGTGCCACGTTCACAAATTTGTATTTTTCATGGGAGCTCAGTGTGTGTGCCCCCGTTTGTGTTCCAGAAATTGGCTTGTTAGCTGCTGCCTTAGCACAGACCAGCTGCTTGAAGAAAACACCTTTTTCCCTTGTGTTAGCTGTGCCCAGAGCTGGGCTGGGGAGCAGAAGGCTCCTGCAGCCCCTGCAGTGGGGCTGAGCTGCGTGTGCAGGGGCAGCGAGCAGAGCCAGCAGCTCCTGTGGGTGCAGAGCCCAGAGCTGCTGCTGCTCTGCAGGGCTGTGAGTGTGCTGTGAGTGTGAGTGTGAGTGTGTGTGTGCTCTGAGTGTGTGCTCTGAGTGTGTGCTCTGAGTGTGAGTGTGCTGTGAGTGTGAGTGTGTGTGCTCTGAGTGTGCTGTGAGCTCTGCTCTGCAGGGCTGTGAGTGTGCTGTGAGTGTGAGTGTGAGTGTGCTCTGAGTGTGTGCTCTGAGTGTGAGTGTGCTGTGAGCTCTGCTC